AGCCAATTGTGTAGCTTTGTGCATAACTACAAACAAACAAACCAAATGTCATACAGTCAATTTTCAGAAACGTAAAATTCTGCTTGCTTAACTGGTAAACACCCAAAGTAAGGGAAATAATGTCATCTTCAAGCAGGCTTGGAAAGTACAAAACTGTGTCATGTTCTTACCTCTTTTCCACACTGATCTTGTACGAGCTGGTTCTTAGGTCTCCACAATGTGCAGTAGATAATCTATACTGAAATTCGACTGGTACTGCTTACTGATGATTATATCGAATTCAGATGAAAATTGTTTTTTCCTACTCAAAAGATACGTTTTCAGATCTATGTTAGGAGGTCTAAAAACAGACCTTCTTCTCTTGGCATATGCTCTAAGATGGCAAACAGCTTATCTATATTATTTAGGTATCAGGAACTAGGTAACTGTGCATTGATTGCAAGAAGAGTGGAAGGTTTCTTTTAAGGTTTATTGGTAAAAGTGTGGTAAATCCTCGTTGATTTACAACGTGATCATGTAACATTAGGATGAAAACCATTAAAATATGTGAATGTATAACTAGATTGATTTCTTGTTTTTAATGGATGTATTACATTCTATCTTATGGTTATGTTACTTTTCATATGGGCCTTGTCAATTAGTAATAATGAAACATGTTTTACAAACATTATTGGATTAAGAAATATCGACACATTAATAATAAACTGATATTTTAAGTCCACACATGTTGACAGCATTCTATAAGCAATATTCCTTTTTAATACATTATTCAGAGTATGAAGGTGAACAACATATCAAAGAGAGTCGTTGTTTAATTACAGGGTGGTGTTGAAAAAACACTTTCAAGGTGTGAAAAATGACCTAAAATGAAAAAAAGTGAACAATAGAAGCCATCTAAATCATGAAATGTTTTAAAGCCAGTAGAGTAATTGAATATATTATCAGTTGCAAAATAGAGGTACACATAATAAGTTATTTTTCTCAGTAGCTCTAGGTACTATACGCACTTATAATACTTGTCTTTTTAGCTAAGTGTTTAAAGAGTTATAGGGTAATTTATTACCAACAGTTACAAGTTATTACATGTTAATTTCTTCTATTAAATTACTTAAGCGAAGGTTTTAATTTGAAGGTTTCAATTACATGGATGAAACATATCAAACCACCATGGCTATTCTAAACGATAATATTTTGATTTTGTTTTATATTCAGGCACCGAATTAATACTTTTACAGTCCGATTGGGTGAACACAACCTTCTGAGGGATGATGATGGTGCTACACCAATTAATTTTTCAGTTAACTCAATAAGATATCATAACAAGTATAACGGAAAGGTATATGCCAATGATATTGCCATATTGAAACTAGATGGAAGAGTTACATTCACGGACAGAATCCACCCGATTTGCTTGCCGTATATGATGTTAAGAAATGAAGATTTGACTACAAGGGATGCTTTTGCCGCTGGGTGGGGCAAAACGTCATCGAGTAAATGTTTAACATTATATTAAAATAGTGTATTTAGTGTGCTAGAGGTATTAGAGTTTTTTAAATAAAATTTTTCTTGTAAATTAAAACATCAACACTAGTGAGGTGAAACGAACCAGTAACAAACTCAAGTTATAGTCTGTATTGTAAAAAACAAACATATATATATATATGGAACTGGCATTACTACATATTTAATTATTAAAACATAAGTAAAGCTTTGAGTTAGCTTAAGTTATCTTTCATGAGTTTTGGTTACTTAAGGAATGGAGCCGACCACCACGAGGTTGTAATTTTATTGCCAAACTAATTGTCCTAAGATAGTGGATACTAGAAATTCGAGTGGTTATTAAACTTGCTATGGTGTTTTTAACTTGCTCATGTAAGAATTTTCAAACTTTATTTTAATAACCTATCATAGTACTGTTGCTGTACTATTAATTTCAACGTAGATGACGAAGTTTAATTCTGCAGTTCTTTGAGAAAGGAATTAATTATTATTCACTGCAAACTAAGATAAATATTTCATGTTTTGTATGATTTTGAACAACGATCCAACTAGTTAGAGATCACGTAATTTGTCACTGCCAAACAATATAAGGTAGCTTATTGAAATCCTTAATACTATCAGATTAATACCACATAATATCAAACCAAAATATTTACCAAATCAAGTCAAATATGAATACTTACCCAATCAATTTTACCTCTAGTAAAAGACGCCAATCTCTAGATTTTCTTGGTTTGTGTTTAAAAGTTCAATATATAAGCTTATGAGAAAACACGTTTTAAAAAAAATGATATGAGTTAATTCAATGGTACAGGAAGTTACAAGTGCAATAACGTAGAAGTAATGCTGATAAAATATTCTTCAGCAGAGAATTAAATTGTTATTATGTTGGCTCCTTTTTTTCGTCTCATTAAAAATTATTTTTTTTAACTTCTGAAATATTAGTGGTAGAAAATGCGTTATGTTTAGCACATGTGACAACATAGATACAAATAGTTTAGGTATTCAAGAAATCATCTAATACATTTTTTTAAAATTATGTAGCCCTTTTAAGACCAATAATAATTGGCAGTTTAAGATATTTTACACAAATTCTTCACTACTTGTGGCGCTCCTAAATAATAGCAAAATAAAAAATTGACACATGTAAATATGTTATTTCAGGTTATGAAACAAAGCTTCAGCTCTCTATTAATAACTGCAGTTTTAGTTGCATAAGCTTTAATTTGTAGAGCCACGCCGACTAGTGTGGATATTATGTCTGATAATATGGAAGTTGAAACTATATGAAACTTTAACAACATTGAAACTAAGCAGTTAAGAAGAAAGCATCAGTTACTTATTTTGAATACTTGAAAGTTAAGAAATACGAGCATGTAAATATTGGTATATCAGTTACTTGTTGTATCAAATAAGTTAAATAGTGGAAACGAAGGAAATGTCTTAAATAAAGTGGATTTTTCCTTTCAAGATCCATATATTGATTCATATAGTCCGGTTCTACGAGAGATTCGAGTGGCTATTTGGAAGCATAAACATTGTGTTGAGGCTTATAATCGTAATGAAACTTATATTACTGAAACGAACATGTGTGCTGGATATGGAGACGGTGACAAAAATGCCTGTGTGGTGAGTTTGTTTATTATTTTGTGATAATTAATTATAATTAGAAATTTCTTTTGTCAACAACTTATTGATTAAGAAATTTAAAAGATAAATTAGCGAATATCTGTAAGAAAGTCAGTTTAAATAGTTCGTCAAATAATATGGGTTTATAGTAAAGCGGGTTTGATGAAATAAATTCTAATGATCTTATATGTTTTGTCATTTTTAAAACTTAATAATTAGTTTAGTCTCTTCAGTGAACATCGGAAATAATAGTATTTGCTTTGTTATCTTATAATTCAATAATTTCATAAGCTTTCGAATAGACAGTAGGAATTATTGATATTTCTTAACATAAAAGTTGACATCATTTATTGATATTTATGAAATCTATACCTTTATTTCTAATAAGCCCCCGGTGGGACAGTGATAAATTTAAGGAATTACAACGCTAAAATCCGGAGTTCGATTCCTCGCGGTGGACACAGTAGGTAGTTCAATGTGGCTGTGCTGTACAATAACCAATCAAACAGCCTTCATTAGAAAAAAACCCAGTAGCACAGCGGTATGTCTGTGGATTTAC